AGGGTGTAAATGTTCTCCTCGTAGTGCCTGGACATGGCCTGGGAATGGGGAGAAAAAGGGGAAAATTGGGAAAAAACAAGGGAAAAATAATGGAAAAAACGAGGAAAAAATAGGAAAAAATATCCTGAAAAAATGAGGAAAATTGGGGAAAATATGGATAAAATATGGATAAAATATGGATAAAATATGGATAAAAATGCAGGGTGTAAATGTTCTCCTCTTAGTGCCCGGACATGGCCTGGGAATGGGGAGAAAAAGGGGAAAATTGGGAAAAAACGGGGGAAAAATCATGGAAAAAATAGGGGGAAAAAAATCCTGAAAAAATTGGGAAAATTGGGGAAAATATGGATAAAATATGGATAAAATATGGATAAAATATGGATAAAATATGGATAAAATATGGATAAAAATGCAGGGTGTAAATGTTCTCCTCGTAGTGCCTGGACATGGCCTGGGAATGGGGAGAAAAAGGGGAAAATTGGGAAAAAACGGGGGAAAAATAATGGAAAAAACAGGGGAAAAATATCCTGAAAAAATGAGAAAAATTGGGGAAAATATGGATAAAATATGGATAAAATATGGATAAAATATGGATAAAAATGCAGGGTGTAAATGTTCTCCTCATAGTGCCCGGACATGGCCTGGGAATGTGGAGAAAAAGGGGAAAATTGGGAAAAAACAAGGGAAAAATAATGGAAAAAACGAGGAAAAAATAGGAAAAAATATCCTGAAAAAATTAGAAAAATTGGGGAAAAAATGGTGAAAATATGGATGAAATATGGATAAAATATGGATAAAAATAGAGGGTGTAAATGTTCTCCTCGTAGTCCCCCAACATGGCCTGGGAATGGGGGAAAAACGGGAGAAATTGGGAAAAAATGAGGAAAAAAATTGAGGAAAAAAATGGGGGAAAATCATGGAAAAAACAGGGAAAAAAACCTGAAAAAATGGGGAGAATTGGGGAAAATATGGATAAAATATGGATAAAATATGGATAAAATATGGATAAAAATAGAGGGTGTAAATGTTCTCCTCATAGTGCCTGGACATGGCCTGGGAATGGGGAGAAAAAGGGGAAAATTGGGAAAAAATGAGGAAAAAAAACGAGGGAAAAATAATGGAAAAAATAGGGGGAAAAAATCCTGAAAAAATGAGAAAAATTGGGAAAAATGTGGATAAAATATGGATAAAATATGGGTAAAATATGGATAAAATATGGATAAAATATGGATAAAATAAGGATAAAAATACAGGGTGTAAATGTTCTTCTCCTTGTCCGTAGACATGGCCTGAAAATGGGGGAAAAACGGGAAAATTGGTAAAAAACATGAGAAAAATGAACTTGTTGCGATTACCGGCTATGGCGGGAAAAATTGGGAAAAATTGGGAAAAATCTGGATCAAACACGGGTATAAAAATGGGATAAATGTTTCCCTTGTAGTCCCTGGCTGAAAAATTGGGTTAAAAACGAGAAGAATTGGGAAAAAAACGCGGAGAAATTTCCCCCTCGTGATCCCCACGGACGGGGAAGGAAAAACGGGATAAAAGAAAATGGGAAAAATGTGGGGAAAACATCCAGGTGTGGGCGGGGCCAAGAAATGGAGCCTGGCACAGCTGGGCACACCTGGGCACACCTGGGCACATCTGGCACGAGCCGCTTCCATTTTAGCCCCTCAACCTTTAAACCCCGCCCCTTTAAGCCCTTCCCATTTAAGCCCCGCCCCTTTAAGCCCCTCCCATTTAAGCCCCGCCCCTTT